GTAGCATCCCCAAGCAAGCAAGATCCAGAAAAATGATGTCAGTTCCACCAACACCAAACACACGTATGAACCTAAAAGATTAAGCCCTTCAATTGTATAGTGCCCATCAACTATTCTAGGCAAGAGAGCTACAAGTATGACTACCAGTTGCAAAGAGGGAAAAAAATTCAAAACTTCCTTCGGATATAAATCAGTGCAATCTTACAAAATAAAATTTATATCACTGCTCTAGCAATGCGGCCGAGCCTGCCTGTTAAGAAGACACCATTTAACAGGGTTAAGTTTGCAATAGCAACATGGCTAGTAATTTGCACAATGTGTGCATGAATAAGTAAATAGTTAATGTCAATGGTGGGCAGGAATCAGAACAACGTCATTTTCATTCATAAGTTTTATTGAATGTTTTTTGCCCTTTCGGCTTTTCATGACTGATACAGACTTACCAGCAAGCATGCCTCTTATTTGTATTTTTGTTTCAATTGGCTTGCCCCTGTATGTTGAAACTTGTAAAGAAGAACCCTTTTTTTCTTCAATACTCCCACTCATAGCTTAGAATTCAATGATTTCTGCAAATTTTCTTTTGCCACGATCCAAAGGACACAAAAACTGGGGTACCCAATCAATCATGCTTTGACCAAATTGTAAGACTCGTGCAAGTCAGAAGTCCCAGATTTCTAATTCCTATTTTATTTGGATTTCTGGGTTTTTTCCCCTCGTCTTCTCTCAAGATTCGGTACTAGCATTTAATACTCGGGTGAATATTGATCATGCAAATATAAAAGCGTTGATTAAGCAGAGAGACGTGTGAACCCGTAAGTGCACTAGGCATATGACTGCACTGAAAGAATTGCAAATTCTATTGTTTCTTGTATATACTAAGAAGGTTGTAATACACGTGACTTATATATGTTGCAGAATTCATTCTAGGAAGGTGAATAATTTATTCTATGAAGGTCAATCACAATAATTATGATTGCTTTAATCTCAGCAAATACAATAGGAAAAAATACATATTACAATAGTTGTCCAATATCTTTCCTTTAACACTCCTCCTCCTTAAGTTAGAGTGTGAATGCTAATTACACCCAACTTGCAAAGATGGGACTAGAAGAGGGGTGCAAGCAGTGGCTTGGTGAAAACATCAGCTACTTGGAATTGTGTTTGCACATGAGCTGTCTTGATTTCACCATTTTGAATTTTCTCACAAACGGTGTGGCAATCCAATTCAATGTGCTTGGTTCGTTCATGGTAAATTGGATTGACTACAATATAAAGTGCAGCTTTGTTATCACAAAATAAGGTGGCAGGTTGGTGATAGAGTACTTATAGATCTTGTAAGAGGTATCGCAACCAAGTAATTTCATAGGCGGTGGCTACCATGGATCGGTATTCAGTTGCGACGGATGACCTTGAGACAGTGACTTGCTTCTTGCTTTTCCACGATATGAGGGACCTGCCAAGAAATATACAATATCCAGTAACTGAGCGCCTTGTAAAAGGGCATCGTGCCCAATCTGCATCGCAATATGCAGTCAAGTGCAATGGCCTATTTGAGGAGAATAACAATCCTTGGCCAGGAGCTCCTTTGAGGTAATGAAGGAGCCGACATGCTATGTCAAAATGGTGCTTCTGTGGTTCATGCATAAATTGGCTGAGTGTGTTTACTGCATATGTGATTTCGGGCCTTGTAATGGTAAGATAGATTAATCGTCTAATAGGTCTCCAATAACATGTAGGGTCTTTAAGAGGGTCACTCCCTGCAGGCATAAGAGCAACATTTCATTTATAGGAATCTTCTTAGGTTTGGCACCAAACAAATCTGCATCTTCCAATATATCCAGTGTATACTTTCGCTGGTAAAAAGAAATGCCAGATTTGGACCGTGCAATCTCAACTCCAAGGAAGTAGTTTAAAGGGCCAAGATCTTTAATTTTGAAACGGGTGTTGAGGAAATGTTTAAGGTCTTGGATGCTGATTATTCCCAGTAATTATCATATCATCAACATATAACAAAATAACAGTGAAAGATTTGCCCTATGTTTGTGTGAACATTGAATAATCGGCTTTAGATTGAAGAAAACCAATGTGCTGTATGGCAAATGCAAACTTACAGAACCAGCTTCGGGACGCCTATTTCAAACCATATATGGATTTATGGAGGCGACAAACCATGTGCTCCCCCTTGCGTCGATACCCCGGCGGTGGAAGCATATAGACTTCTTCATGGAGGTCGTAATGCAGGAAGGCATTATGTACATCCATCTGATGCAGGGGCCAATTACAAACAGCAGCAACAGTAAGGAGACAATGAACAGTGATGAGCTTAGCAACAGTGGCAAAGGTTTCGGTGTAATCAATGCCTTCATGCTGGGTGTGGCCCTTGGCAACCAAGCACGTTTTGTATCTTTCAATAGAATCGTCAAACTGGTATTTAATCTTGAAAACCCACTTACAGTCGATCGGACGATGACCAGCAAGCAATGAAGTGAAAGACTAGGTGTTGTTCTCCTTCAAAGCTGTGATTTCAAAATTCATAGCGGTGACCCATTGAGAGTGATGTCGTGCCTCCTCATAGGAGTTGGGTTCAACCAATTGAGAAATATGATTGATAAATAGATGATGAGGTATAGAGAAATTGGAGTGAGACACATACCGAGTGATGGGGTAACGGGTGTCAGATGTGCTAGAGAAGGGATTGACAAGAGCAAGCAGAACGACATGATGAGCTTGGTAATCTTTGAAGCAGGTAGGGGGTTTTATGGGGCAGCTGGATTGGCAAATGGGCGGTGGATGGGCAGCTATGAGAGGGGTGGGGGATTCAGAGGGAAGGTGTGGGATGACAGGTGAAGGAGGTGAGGATAGGCTAGTGATGGGTATGGGTGGAGGGGGATTGATGGAAGGCATGGAAGGAGGAGGAGGACTGGAAAGGGAATTAGGGAAGACTGGTTGGGGTGATGGGGCTTGGTTAGGGATAGGTATAGGGAGAAGTAATGGGTCAGGGGAGGAGTTAGGTATCATAGTAGAGTCATCTTGGGTTTCGGGTGGGGATAAAAAAAAAAGGAATACATGTTCATGAAAAACCACATCTCGGGAAGAAATTTTTTTTTATGTGGTAAGGTCATAAAGACAGTAACCTTTTTGACCAAGGGGGTAACCAAAAAACACACATTGGCGAGCCCGTGCATCAAACTTGTATTTAGGGAGAAGATTGGTGACATAACACAAACAACCGAATACTCACAAAATAGAGTAATCGGGAGATGTTTGATGTAATAGCTCAAATGGTGATTTATGTTTAAGTAAGGGTGTCGGAAGACAGTATATAAGATAACATGCAGTTAGTAAACTTTTCCCCTGAAAAACATAAGGGAATGTTGGCTTGAAAATGTAGTGCCCGACCAACATTTAAGAGATGACGATGTTTTCTCTCGACAATACCATTTTACTAGGGTGTATATGAACATGAATGTTATAAATACGTGCCTTTGTTTTGAAAGAAAGATTGGAGAGACATAAATCCACTCCCATTATCGGCACGCAAGGATTTGATAGGAAGGTTGAATTGGGTTTGGACCCAAGAAAAAAATGATTGAATTACCCCTTATGTTTTTTATTTAAAATTTAGGAAATGGATCCATGTAAATCGGGTAAAATCATCCACAATGGTTAAGAAATATCGGGCACCAGTATGAGTATGTATTTTGTGCGGTCCTTAAATATCACAATGAATTAAATCAAAAGGTGCAGTGGATGATTATAAAGTAGATGGAGAGAAAAATAAACGAGTTTGTTTTGCTAAAGGGCAAATATCACAAACAATTTCTGGAATTTTATTTGAAAGTAACTGAATAGAGGCATTGGATGGGTGGCCCAAACATTGGTGCCAAAGATGGGAGGTGTGGTGGACATGGTGAGCTAGAAGTGGATTTTGGGTAGCTGTAAAGTAGTAAAGCCCATTAAATTGCTTGCCCAGGCCAATCGTCCTCCTCGTGATCACGTCCTGCATAATACAAACTTATCAAAGAAAATCATAATACACTGCAATCCTCGTGTCAATTTGCTTACAGATAATAAGTTCACATTGAATTGAGGAACATGAAGGACTCCATCAAAAGTTATTATTTCAGATACTTTAATGGACCCAACATTGTGAATTTCTGTTTTTTCTCTATTAGGTAACCCAACAAAATCATGAGGAGCATGAAGCATGTTATGCATGTTATATGTAGATGCAAAACATGAAATATAATTTGACACTCCACTGTCCATTATCCAGTATATATTTGAATGTGGGTTATGCTGTGATAGATTGCAAGTAGTGTAACAGTACCTATTGCATTTGCACGTGAAAAATTACCGGATTGGTTATGCAAGAGAGCAATTAATTGATTATATTCTTCGGTGGTGAAAATCAGACTTTCATTTGGCTTACTGTCATGCACTAAGGTGGAATCCTTGTTAATAGTGTAGGCAATGAGTCTCTTATTCTTTGGCTGGACATTATTTCCATGTAACTTATGGCCCACAGGAAAACCATTGATATAATAACAATTTTCCACCATGGGGGTGTCTCCATCACAATAAGAACAATTGAGAAACTTCTTCAGATAAGGACTGTGCTTCCCTTCTCCATGACCAGCACTAGGAGATTTTGTTGCCATTTGATTCCCAGGTATTGTACCACATCTGATGTAGTGACTAATTTGCATAGCATGGGGCCCGATCTGTCGATTTGCCACATCCATTTGTCGCTCGTGTTGGATGATTAAGCTATGAACACGTCGTGTGTCTAGGATCGGTGACATCATCAGGATCGACCCGCGTACTATTGAGTAAGGTTCATTAAAACCCATTAGAAACTGCATGACTCTCTCCTTTTCTTCTCTTGAGGCTTATGTTTTGGAACCTTCACAGGTGCATATGATGGGTTCATGGGAGGAATCTAATTCATCCCATAGAGCCTTGAGTTTAGTTTAGTATTCTGAAATTATGAGGTTTCCTTATTGATGCTCAGCAATTTCTTGGCGGATTTGGAAAATCCTAGAGTCATTGCTTTGTGAGAATCGATCCTTGAGGTCATTCCATACCATAGATGCACTAGTGCAGTAAAACACACTGCTTGCAATATCAGGATTTAGTGACTGTAAAATCCATGACAACACCATGTCGTTGCATCTCTGCCAAACAGCAAATTTGGTATCGATGCTTGCTAGAGGTGTGATGGTTCCATCAATGAATCCCAGCTTGTTTTTGTCACTCAAGGCAATACGCATTGAGCGGCTCCATTGACCATAATTGTGTCCTTCAAGAGGCTTGGAAATGAGAACAAGACCTGGTGAATTTGAACTATGTGGAGTGAGTGAGTCAGGTGTGTTGTCATCCATGTTTATGTTTTGTGTTGGTTGATTTTTTGATGGTGGCGGAAAGTGTGAATAGGTTCACCAATACTGGTGCTCTGATACTATGAAAGAATTGCAAACTCTATTGTTTCTTATATATATTAAGAAAGCTATAATACACGTGATTTAGACAGGTTGTAGAATCTATTCTAGGAAAGTAAATAATCTATTCTAAGAAGGTTAATCACAATAACCGTGATTGCCTTAATCTCAACAAATACAATAGAAAACACTAAATACAATAGGAAGAGATGCATATTATAATAGTTGTCCATTATCTTTTCTTTAACATGCACATTGCACAACACTAGCGAGCTACCTAGCTGCTGCCATTGTTGACTATTATGAAATTTGCACTTAAAGCAATTATGAAGACAGGTTCATAGTGTTGCCGGAAAAAATATATGTAATGTTGTCTGCATTTCCTTAATATGATATAAATAAACTTTTTATGAATGTCAAATCTTTCAGTGATAACAATGACAAATTTTATTTAAAAGTAATGAAATTAATTAACTTGCTCCTTGATTTTACTCAAAGTTGTAAAACCTGAATTAGCCTTACTTGATCATTGGGTTAATCAAGATCAATGTTTCTTTTCAAATATTTTTTCTAAAATAATATTATTTCTTATAATATTTGTAAATAAAAACTAAAGTGTCATTTAAAAAAAATTGGCTGAATCTCACCTATGTTTTAACTGTTTTTTCAAGTCAAATATATAATAGATCCAAAACGAAATCTAACATTATCCTTGGCTCGAGTATGTAGGTCCTGAATTACCTCATTAACCCAAGTTTTAGGATATTGATTTTATTAGAAGTAGGTTCTTCTTATTTGTAACCCCTAGCTAGATGGCCCGCAGAATATCGTGGGCTACACTAAAAAATAATGTTCAGGTTATGGGAAACTTTTTTGTGATTAATAAGCCAATATTAAAACTTTTTGATTTGTTTCTTTATGGAGCTCGCTTGTGTTTCATATCAAATCGCTTTGGAGTTATCCTAACATTACATTCTTAACTCAACAAGTTTATAAATAAATCAGATGATTAGTAAAAATATGATCTAAGTTTAAATATAAATTTTGAGATAACATAATTTTATAAAAATATATTGAAACAATAACATGTTTCTAGGTCAAATCTATGACCTAGATCAAGGACTCTACTAGATTTAAATTTTTTTAAGAATATTTTGTATGTAACCATATGATAAAAAAAATAGTTGCTTGTAAAATTAAGACCAGCTAAATATTAGGATTTTTTTATAGAATTTGGTAACTCTAAAAAAATAAATTGAAACAAGTTATAAAATATGATTCTTAATCAACTAAAATTAATCAGCCAAACTAGTAACTCAAAATGGACTCAATCAAGCTCAAAATCTTTTTTTATAAATTTTTATTTAATTTTATGATAATAAAAAAATACTTTCATAAAATTGAACGTCAACTAAATATTAAAGTGTTTGTTTGAGATCATGATAAACCTAAATATATCCAAAAAAAATCACGTTGTCCAATTAAAAATATTTGCTCTTTTTAGAAAAATATAAAAGAAATCACTGCACAATAAATTTGCATTTAAAACATAAATAAAACAAAGCATAAGGGCTCACAAATAAATTGATAAAGATTTTCAAATATTTAATAAATTTTATGATATTAAAAAGAGACTTGTTTGATCATATATCAAAATAAAAAAGGAATAAAATACATGGATAAGATATAAAAATGTGTTTTTGCCAAAAATACAGCCTTAACCAACATAATTTAGGCTTATTGGGCTAGAGAGCCAGCCCACTTTTTTTAAAACACTGGGCTGTATCTAGCTCATCCGTACGATCTGGGCTAGACACGGCTGGGCAGAGCAGCACGCGTGATGCGTGCGGTACAGTCACCTGTTAATTACAATTCACAGCACAGTATCAAATGAATTGTTTTGCAAAGCGGGGCGAGAAGGAGAAAGGCTCACCTGGTCTACTGGAGTGGGTGGCCTGGAGCGACTTCTGGACAGGGGTTCTTCCTTTTTTGTTCTTCTCTCTGTTCGGTATCCCCTCACTTCGTGCCTCCCTGTTTTTTTTCTTTCCCTGGTTTCCCTTTTGTTCGTCCCTTCGTCGTTGTTTCCGTTTCCCGGTCTCCCACGGTTTCCTCTGTTTCCTGGGTTTTTCTTCGTTCGTCTTCCCACTGTGTTCCCATTCCTCCTCGTCTTTCTCTATGTCCTTTATTCCCTCCTCTGTTCTGGGTTCTTTCTTGTTCCCTCGGTCTCTCTGTTTTTCTGGTCTTCTCTGTTTTTCTTTGCTGGTTCTTTTTTTCTCCCCTACTCCTTTTTTCGGCGTGGCCTTTCGCTGGCATTTTATAGGGCCAGAACAACTGGTTGTTCCCTAGTACGTCTCTTCTTTTCTGGGCGAAGGATAAGTCTTGCTGGAGGTGTTATCTTTTGCTGGGACTTGTACATCAGATTCTGGTTGTTCCCTGGTGCGTCTCTTCTTTTCTGCGCGGAGGATAAGTCTTGCTGGGGGTGTTATCTTTTGCTGGGACTTGGACATCAGATTCGATCCTTATCTCACCGGGATTATGATCTTCATGAAGATAGGGATTGATCTTCGTGATTTGGTAGGACTGGGATGCTGTCATTTCAACTTTCCTACCCTTCTTTGCAGGCCTTTCAGCTCAAGAAGAAGAAGAAGAAGAAGAAGAAGAGCAGTGCATGTGGAAACTGCGTCGTTTTGGTCTGGGAATGACCATTTTCAATTTGGTCCTTGAAGTTTTGAAATTTTTCATTCAAGCCCCTAGTCTTTTAATTTAAATTTGAACCCTCTTCAAATTAAATTAAAATCAAATTAGTTAAAAATTACGTTATATCAATGATATTGAGAGTGTTCTGGTCTTTATCTTTGGTTCATTAGTCATTAAAAAGTTGTTTATAGATATGTTAATGTTTTCATTTTTTTTACTATAAAAGTACGATTTTGTCCCTAGATGTCCTTGGATTCACAAATTTCATGAGTTATTGCCCAGGAGGTTTTTAGTATTTTCAGAATATTAAAATAGTTAAAATACTTAATTTACCCCTAAATTAAAAAACCACATTGAGTTGTTGACTAAACGTTTTTTTGATTTTTTGCCCTTTGAAATACAGTACAAATACTATTATTTCCTTATGAAAGACAAAAATCAAGACATGTCCAAGTTTATTTGTGTATTTTCTCCATGGTTTTTATATGATATATTAAAATAAAAATTATTTTATTAAAAAAAATATTATCACATTATATTTACATGCTAGCAAAAGGGTGTTATTTGTAATACTTAGATGGTGTGTATAATCCATTTGATGTCTAAACCTAACCTTATATTGTGTTATTGAATATATCAATATATTTTTTTTTATTATAAGGAGATGTTTATTATCATATTATAGCCAACTATTGATAACAATTATTATTTTTCTTCATTCTTTTCTTTTTCTTTCAAAAAATGTGTATATGTGCCTTTGTTTTTTCAAATTTGTCAATTATAGTCCTTTTTTTATTTATTATCATCCCTGATTATATTATAAAAATTTTAGTTCTTTTTAATTTAGCCCTTGAATTACAATGTTCATGTATTATTTTTTTCAATTTACTTCTTATTCTTTTGATTTTTGATTCTTTTCTCCTTGGTTTTTTTGTTAAAGTTTTTTTGATTTTCAATTTTATTCTCAATTAAAGTATGTTTTTTTATCTTTTTCAATTTAATCTCGTTCTTTTGATTTATTTTATCTTTTTTTAAAGGTTTTTTTTTTTAAATTAACCCTCAAATTTAATTTTGTTTATAGTCTCTAATTTATTTTTTGATTTAATTTTCTCCTTCTTTCTTTTAATCATAATTTTTGTGTGGTTTTTTTTTTTATCCTTCATCATTGAATTTGATGAGGAATGAGCTTTGAAGCTTTTTTATTTGTGATGTTTTTAATCTTTTCTTTAATTTTGTTTATAATTTTAACATTCGACATTATTTTTCTAAAAAAATTAGTTTTATAATTATTTAAAAAAAATTATTAGTTATTCTGGTTTTATAACCTAAACTGTGAGTTTTGCAAATATTTTTTGATTAAAAGTTTTTAAAAATTTATTTTTTTGTATCAAAGTTTTGAATGATTTTTTTTATTTTATACCGACAAACTTTATTTTATAAAAATATTATTTATTTTTAAATAATATTTCTTATATTTTGACCCTGCATGATGTTTTTAGTTATGTATATTTTTTTATGTTTCTACTACTTTTTATTAATTTTAATAAATAAATTTAATAAAAATTAACAGGTAAATATTTTATTTTACATAATCAAATATCTCCAGCTACATTCATCTTTTAATTTTTTTAGTTTCTCTTTTGGTTATTGTTTATAATTTTTTTATTTATTTATATAAATAATTATTAGTTTATTTGGTTATATATTTGTATAAACTCTTTGCTTTATGCTTTGATTTTTTTTTAAATAACATATATGTTCATGATTTTTTTTAAAAAAAAATTACAGTCCATAATATGCTCAGGTTAAATAGCAAAGTGTTTTCTTTAACACGACATCCCAAGTTTTCATACAAAAATCTTATGCATATAATTTGCTTAAAACCAGCGCATATTTGTTTTCAATAATTAAGAGTATTTTTGGACATTTTGCACGTGTATCGAAACACCACATATTATTGTCTAACCACAAGGAAGACATTAATTAAGAAAATTGACTAATGCTAATCATGTAGATGTTTATTTCCTCTTCTTCTTCTAGAGTCACATGCCTTTCCTTCGGAAACTTAACATATATATATATATATATATATAGCAGCAGAAAAAAATTAATAACAATATGATATTACAAAAAAAATTCACGAAAAACACAATTATTAGAATTTATAAAATCCAATCATGTTCAAATGATGATTTTTCTCAAAAGTGATTTTGAGAAGTATCTTAATATAAAATTAGCATCAGTTAAAAAGTATTTTAACGCTGAAGATTAATAAGAAACAAATTGAAGAATTCATATGAATTTTTAGATTAGTGAGATTTCATCATTGGAACCCACATTGAGAACATATCAAATGGTCCACGATCCTTTTAAATTTTTTCTTGGTATTTAGCATATACATACATAAAAAAATTTTCTTGGTATTTACTATATACATACACACATATATATATAAAGAAAATTTGTTTTGCTTAGAATATTTTGCAAATAAAATATAAAACGAAAAAATATTTTACATGGTTATAAACACTGATGTAAAACAACTCTAGTAATAAAATAATAAATTTTATTATGGTGATGAGATAAAACAATTTCTTGGTATTTAGCGTATACATACATACATACATAAAAACAATTTCTTGGTATTTAGTATATACATACACACACACATATATATATATATATATATATAAAGAAAATTTGTTTTGCTTAGAATATTTTGCAAATAAAATATAAAACGAAAAAATATTTTACATGGTTATAAACACTGATGTAAAACAACTCTAGTAATAAAATAATAAATTTTATTATGGTGATGAGATAAAAATTATAGAAATGATCTTGGTAATAATGATGAGGATGATTCTAAAAGTTAAGATAAAATAATGATAAAATAATAATAGTAATTATTAATTAAAATAGTAATAATACTGATGATGATAAGTTAATGAGGTGGTATTGATTTTTTTTAGATTAACGTGGGTGTCCGGGTTAGTTTGCGCGCACCATGACTAATCCCACATGTCTTGAAGTTAATGACTATGTAAGCCTCCAGTGGCCATCATATGAGCAACGAAAGACTCGAACCTGAGACCACAGAGGGAGCAAACTCCTTGATCCTAAGTCCTTACCACTTAGCCACCACCTAGATGGTTGAGGTGGTAATGATTTGATATTGGTTAGAGGTATATGGTAATAACAGTAATGAGTTAATAATATAAATGATAATATGAATGGTTTAGTCAGTAAAATAATTTATTGTGATTTATAAGTTGAAAATATTTTATTAAATTTAAAAGTTAAAATTGATAATTATTAGAAAATATTCTATTATATTTACCAGCTTTTATAAAAAAATATTTTATAAAAAACATATAAAAAGAATTATTTTATATAAGAATTTTATGCAACGCCTCCTTCCACAGACCAGACCAGACCAGCATCGAGGAGGAGGACTTAACAAATTATCGCTACACAGATGACTGCTAGCCATAACCACCTCAATTATGTGACAAGTCGTTTAGATGTTAACCATCATAAATTTAGACGACTTATCGTTTTTCTTCTACTTCTGATGACTTGTCGTCTCGGGCTTCATCCAGACAAAAAATAAATAAACAGAAAAAATAATAAATAGGAGAAAGAACGCCATAAGTTACCCTTTTCTATTACTCCACTGAATCATGGCTTCTTTTTCGAGCCCTAATGGGAAAGAAATGTAAAACCCTTCAAAACCCTAATCTCAAATCCCACAGTATCCACCATATCCTCATGATTCTAAGGTGAAGTTCAAAACTTTTATTTACTTCTTTTCTTCACGTTGTTTAGTATTATAGCATTTTTATTTACTGAATTATGATTTTGAAATCTCTTTTTTCGTAATTAACCTTAATTGTTATTGTGTGATTAGGAGGTGGTTATAATAATAATTATTATAATTTTTAATAAGATAATGACACAGCCATCAGTAATACTTGCCACTGCTAGCTATGATCACACTATCAGATTTTGGGAGGCAAAAAGTGGCCGCTGTTACCGTACAATCCAATACCCCGATTCGGTAATCACTATTTTTTTCTCTTTTTGTTATAAAGTATGGATCTTCATCACAAAATATTAGTGGGTTTGCTATAAATTTTCCATCTTTTTTTTTTCTTAGCTAGTAAATTTGCTAATAAATTGTTTTGTTTATTTTAACGGTGAATGAAGCAAGTTAATAGGCTTGAGATAACCCCTGATAAGAGATACTTGGCTGCAGCCGGGAATCCACACATTAAGCTGTTTGATGTCAACTCAAATAGTCCTCATCCGGTAATGAAAGTCTTGCACTTTTTTATAATTATTTTTTTGTTGTTGAAATATGGTTTTTTTTTTTGGTGTTAGTGATGCAGTATTGTGTTGCATTAACAGGTAATGAGCTATGACTCGCATACGGCAAATGTTATGGCTGTGGGATTTCAGTGTGATGGAAACTGGATGTACTCAGGGTCTGAGGATGGAACAGTGAAAATTTGGGATTTGAGGTAAATCCTGAATGGATGCTATCATGCAGTGTTTTAAAAGGAAATTGTGTTTTTATGCGTGTTTTGGATTTTTTCGGACTTGATTCTTATTTGAAGTTCAACTACAGGGCTCCTGGTTGTCAAAGGGAATATGAAAGTCGTGCGGCTGTCAACACTGTGGTGTTGCACCCAAACCAGGTTAGCTGTTGTGTATCACTTTTAGCCTGTAGGAAGGATAAATTGTTGGAAAGTGAAAGGGATTTTGGAATCATGGGGTGGTTTTAAATGGAGAATATGATTTTAAGACTTGCCATGAATGGGTTTTGATCTTTTCTTCTTCTTCTTCTTTTTTTTGTTTAACTGTGAGACACAATGTACCAGCGTGCTTTGTCAGTGGTTGGAAGACTTGCCCCTTGCAAATACTGATAAAATCAGTTTGTAATAACAGATTTGACAGCCAAGTTTCTTTGTTCTAAATGGCAAGAATTATGATAATTCACGACCAAAGACTTATGGCAAGGATTTTTGGAAGAGAAACTGTCAGATATGATGAGTTTTTTGGTTCTTGTTTATATTGCTCAAATTCCGAGTTTAAAATAATTGGCAGTATTCTGCAATTTTCTCAACATGTTTATATTGCCTTTTGATCATTTAACTGTCTGTTAGCTATAGAACATGAAAAGATCTTGATTGAACCATGCCTACCATCATTTCCGTGTGATTTGTGTCTATTCTTCTTAGTATCACTTTCTCCAAAAGCATCAGATTGCATTTAGTGTGGTTTTAGTGGTTGGTCTAATCCGTTGTGTCTGGTTTTGCAGACAGAGCTGATATCTGGAGACCAGAATGGGAACATTCGAGTATGGGATTTGACTGCAAATTCATGCAGTTGTGAATTGGTATTCTTTTATGTCTTACATTATCTTATTGGGCTATAATTACAGGAACATTTTACACGAGTTACTATTTCCTTTTATTATGATGTGTACACAAAACTCAAATGTTTGCTTATACATCTAGACGAGGTAGTTTATGAAAGCAAGTGGATCATTTGTAATGCTTTTGCGTCTATAATGGCATCATAGATTTAAAGGGCTTTCCTCCAGCCCTGGGGCAGAGGGAGCCACTAGCAAAAGCCAAACAGGCACATGGCTGCTTCCTCCTTCCATTAATGTCTTTGAATATTTTTTGCTGCTTGGTGCATTTCTAGATGGTTGTTAGCTAATGATTCATTATTATTATAAATGAGATGTGTCCCGAGATGATCATAATGCACCATCGCGTGTATCTAGGTACCCGAGGTGGATACAGCTGTAAGGTCTCTAACAGTTATGTGGGATGGAAGCTTGGTAGTTGCTGCAAATAACCATGGAACATGTTATGTTTGGCGCTTGTTGCGAGGGAACCAGGTAGCCCCTTGATGAATGCAACCATCTGACACTACCTTGTTGCTTGATTGGACTGCATTATCATTTGATGCAGAATGTATTTTCTTGCAGACAATGACCAACTTTGAGCCACTTCATAAGCTACAAGCACATAATAAATACATTCTCAAATGTCTTCTCTCACCTGAATTTTGTGATCCACACAGGTTTATATTTCCTTATTTAATCTTACCATTTTTCTGTTTTTCCTAGTTGTATTCTCTGCTGGTTTTCTCACCTACCTTCTTCTCCCACTTTTCTTGATGGATTTTTAGTTTAATTGTTTCCAATTTTATGCCTGCTAGATATCTGGCCACTGCATCGGCCGATCACACTGTAAAGATATGGAATGTTGATGGTTTTACTTTAGAGAAAACTTTGATAGGTAATCCATTAGATTTTCCTTTGATCCTCCTTTTCATCGGGTTCTATACAACAAAAAAAGGTTTTCTGAGATATTCTTTGTTGTTATGTTTCATTTGATCTCCAGGTCACCAACGCTGGGTGTGGGACTGTGTTTTCTCTGTAGATGGTGCATACCTTATAACAGGTACATAGTTTGGTTGTCAAGGTGCAATTAATATCTTTTTTGGAATGGAGGCCTAGTGAAGATGCGCCGACCATTTCAATCTTCCCTGCTTGATGCATTTTGTAATACCGTCTCTTGTTCATGCAGCTTCTTCTGATACGACAGCTAGACTTTGGTCCATGTCATCCGGTGAAGACATCAGGGTGTATCAAGGGCATCACAAGGCGACTGTTTGTTGTGCACTCCATGATGGAGCAGAACCCTCTTCATGTTGAACCTGGAATATCTTTTTTCCACTTTTGGGGTTGGATTTTTTAATCACTCAATGAATATGGCATGATGATAATGCTTGAGTAAAACATCTGCTGCATATATTTCCTGGCATTCATCAAAGTTGTGCCTATTCTCCCTACCCGTTAATTTTCGATTCCTCTGTAACATATTTGGGATCATATTATGGCGCACTCTTCACAGTATTCGGCGACAATAAAGTTATTGATATTCAGTTCGTGATTCCCTTTCTGACATCTGAGGACCAAAATAAATGTTTCTTTTTTTTTCATCCTTGCATTGAGCACACAAAAAAGAACAGAGGTCGATCTGTACGTCAGCACAGTTTCAAACACATTGATTATGATATTAGACATGAGCACATGATGGTCTAGACTTTAGACTCATGGTTTGTCACTTTCACCTATAATAAACATTTTTTTATTTGTTAAGAAATGTTCAAGTAAAATTATATTTTCTTAAGAAATAATCAATGAATACAGCTGCTTGTAAGACTTTTGAATTAGTGAGTAAACATAAGGCCATGCAATGAAAAAGATAAGAATCTGAAATTAGTGTAAAATTATAAAATTATAATTTTATCTGATTTAACCAATTTTACATGATTTCAATCTGATTATATCATTTTTTATTTCTTATATGATTTTACACAATAATTACATGATTTTAACAATCTTGAATATGAAATTTAAACAAAAAGAAAAAAAATATTCCGAGAAAAAAAAATATACACTGATAAACTAGCAGCATTCATCTAATTATACAACACCCCAGTGCCACACTTCAGTAAGGTTTTGAAGTTAAAAATATTAAAAAAATTACAGTGGAGATCAAATTTCCAGTTTATGCATCAAATCAAAAGATCCAGTATCCATTTTCACAGGCAATCCAAGACACGCCCTAGCAAAAAGATACTTTACTTAAGGGTGATATCGACGTCCCCATGCTTCCAAATTATCGACCTCCCCATGCACTGCTGTTTCAACGATGAAGTGGAACGCTATCTCAAAAGACATTTTACTTAAAGTTGATATTGACTATGATATGCCCCCAATTCGGTTCATTGGGACGGTACTCACCAGTAGGGGTCATAAAATCAGCAACAAGTGACAAATGCCGTGTATTGACAGATATTCCATAGGAATCGAATACGTGCTTTATCTCCCTGATGATGGTCTCTCTTGCGGCCTCTACTCCATAAGCATTCAACATAGCATGAATACAATTGGAATATATACCATAACATCAAGGTAATCTTGCATCTTCCAAAATGTATTGAAATCCACTCCAGTCGTGTGCAATTCTGGAATTTTTGTTTTTCTCCAGGTTCTATATCAACTCTTCTCTTGGGGTCTTTCCCATAGTAAATCACTTGATTTTCCTTGCAGCCAGTCACTTGACGCCGTTGAAATTTCCTAGGATTCTGGATACAGACCCGCTTGGCTGTCTTCTGAGCAATCTATAAACAATTAAATAAAAAATTTTAATTTCATCCTTGGGTTAAATAATTTAAAAAAACATAAAAATTGTTTGAATGTTGAAGAAACAAACCAATGACTGTACATAAGCAGATAACTGTTATAATAATAAATGGAAGTAAAAACAAAAGACCATTTGAATACAATTTTTTTCTGACCGTAAAAAAATATAAAGATGAGAATAGTAATAGTTATAATAATAATAGCAATAATTTATCATAAATTAAATTAAATTATTAAATTATCATTTTTATCACAAATTAAATTAAATTATTAAATTATCATTTAATGTTATATTTGTTAAGAATTGAGTTTAATTATTTTTTATGTATAGTGTTTCTAGTATTAAATTATCATTCAATGTTCTAACATTTGCTAGGAATTGAGTTTAATTATTTTTTATGTATTTCTAGTATAATATCTTGAATTATTAGTTTGAAAAGTTTATATGCCTCGATGTTTTTTTTTGTTTTTTATCTTATTATTTTTTTTAATTTTATCGTTCAATATTAATTTTTTAAAATAAAATACAGTCATCCATAATTTTTTTAAAACCTATTAAATAAATCAATTTACATTGAGTTTACTCTTATATATTTTATTAAAATCTCATGCCAAGCACAAATCCAAGTTAAGAAATTTAAACATTTATCTTCTTGCCTGAGGCTTGATGGCTATTTTTTTGTTTTTAAAAATATAGTTTAGTAGCTTTGCAACCAAATAATATAAAATTATGGTCGACTATTAAAAAAATATTTGTAAATATGCAAGTATAGTAATGGTTATTTTTAAAATATTTTTTATATAAAATAATAATTTTGTATTTTAAAAAATTATTTATGATATCATCATTAAAATAATTTAAAAACATAAAAAAAAATTAATCAACGTGGAATGGACACTAAAATCGAAACAACCTCCCAGCCAAACAGGCTCTAAGAAAGGAAAGGTAAAAATAACAAACTGAATCACGCAAAAATACAAGGCGTTAAACATTCAACGATTATTTTACAGCACAGAACTACAGGGTTTCACTGCATTCCATGCTCAAAAGCCAATATATTTTTTGAAATGTAAAATAGAATCCTTCAGTCACTGAAGTTCACAGACCGAATTAATGCTAAGAGATTAATATAGCGTTTGTTTTAATATATTTTTACTCAAAAATATATCAAAATAATACATCAAAATAATATAAAATTATCAAAAAAAAAATAAAAAAAAAATTATAAAAAAAACACGGCACAACTACATTGCAGAAGCCCAATGACACTGAAAAATGTGCTGAGTTTGAGTTCCGGACTATCTGAAAATTTTATCAGAAGGTGGGCAAGGGAAAACCTGTAAATGGGTAAACGACTAGCCTAATTTAAGAGGCGATACATACAGGCCATGATCAGTTTGGACCCAATCTACACAAAATAACCTATTTGACTAGCAAATAATGAATTGATATGCATACAAACTGTGCCGTTGTGAAAGACATTACTATGACTAGTTTAAGATGAGAACTCACAAGGTGAAAAAGCAGGGGAGACACCCAAACTACACATTATCACAAAACTGACTGCCAATGAGTTGCCAATGTATGTGATAATTGACAAACACTCCACTCAGTGTTGTTTGTCATCTCCTGTCTCTGAAGGTTTTCCTTCATTCTTGGTCTTCGCTGGAGCAACCTTGGCAGGTGTTGAACGCTCTGACTGAGAAAACCGAATCAAGATGTGCATTAGGACAGTAACGACAGCCAAACCCAACACTGTAAATGCTATACCCCTCCGTGAGGACAAAAGGGAAGACCATTGAAGGAATTTCAGCACCCCAAAAACAAGGAGGCACGCCCAAGAGGTAACAACCTGATCACGACAGTCAGTCAAATAATACTCCATGAAAGAGCCACCACCACTTGATGCCAGAAAAAAAAAAAAAAAGGTTACATTTGATTTTTCTAACAAAAAAATATCTCACCACAAGAGACTTCTTTGATCGACCATGATCTTGCAATTCTTGGGCACTGAAGGTGTCATTAGCCATATGCTTGTCCAGTAATGCATCCTGGTATTACAAATGGAGGCAATGAGGTGCGACAAGCAACAACAATGCAAATAGATGCCACCATATAAATGAGTTGAACACCAGCCTCAAGAACAAATAACTTTGTAAAGTCTACAATCATTTTCCTTACATTTTAATGTTTCATATGGATATAATAGCAAAAACAGAAAGGAGCAGCACTGAACAAAACAAGTGAAATAGGTATACACACCTTGGCCACAAAAATATCTTTACACCACTGTGCAACACTATCATCTGTTTCTGGCAATTCCTTCATCAAATGCCGCTTTATGTGTACGTGCACCTGAATGGGAGCAAAGTTGAATTGTTTCCATTATATGAATTCGAATATAACTGAATGTGGTCTGACCCTTCAATATCTTGAGCATTCAGAAGTCCAAAGTAATAAGATGCTTTCATCATTATTGAAATGTTTTTGGAATGACATGCCAAGACAAATGATCATAAAATGCAAATGAAAGATGTTGGATGCATCCTCACTGCACTCCACATACATATAAATGAACTCAAACAATACATCTAAAGATTATATAATTTGAAAGCTCAAGATTAATTGCAACAAAAACAACTGCAAAAATTAATAAAAAAGTAAAATGCTTCATGCAGCTGTATAATAAACATTATGTTATTCTAGAAGCTTACCACAGAAGATTTCCCCTTAAAGAGGTTGAGTATTGTAGGTGGAGGAGAATTCTTTGGGATAGCCAATGTTATATCATATATGGCTGGTGCAAATAAACGCATATTACTCACCGCTGAAACAAATCCCTGAAAAACAACACAGATATTCATGACATTCCAAAAGCTGAATGAGGTCAATGGTGCCTAATTGATCCCTGAAAGCAATCCATGCAAAGTGAACCACTACTCTACTTTATCCACTTAACCAATAACTAATTTAAATGTAATAATGGCAAAGCATGAGGTGTTTGATTGCACAGCACGAGCTCTTTTCAGTTTTTTACTTGCTTATGAACTAATTAATTAATTTGTTCGGGTTGGGGTCAACAGAAGCCCGCAAATGAAAGGCAAGAAAATGAAAGAACTGAATTCAAAAAACATGCAATGAAAATTTGACCTTCGTACGAGGAATTAAAACATTTCTGGGGATAGGCAGTCCTTGAGAAGCTGCATATTCCTGAGCTGCTAAAAGCTTTGCCTGAGTAAAGCGAGTTCCTTCCACAAAAAGAGCCAGCCAAAATGGACGTGGAAAGTCCTTTAGCCGTTGCAGACCAGACTGCAGATACAAGTTGCAGAAAATTCAAAATGGTATCCACAAGGGTGTGCACACCCGCAGAGATGCTAAAAAAGATAAGCAAGTTTCTAGAAATATATGTGGTAAAATGTCAAGTGTCTTTACTTGTTATTGTACACATGTGCTAGAACATATTTATGCATACCTTTAATGTGTTTTCATCCTTGGCCCAGTTTCTTTCAAGAAAAAGGTATTCAGAAAACCACATTGACCAACCTATCACCTGAAAGGATGAGCACAGCAATTATCCTCCATTTATAAGCATATAAATTATGTCACATGGCAAGTGCAAATATATTTAGTGAATGAGCATTGGCAAGAGAGAGAAGATTGAAGCAGAACCCTAAGGTGCAAATATGTTACACGCCAAAGCCACTTCAACACTGAATCCATAGGATCAAGCATGAACATACATGGGAAATCACAACATTTAATTTTCTTGATCATGCCATGCAAGGAATCGAAGATCAGATCATCAGATGGCACATTTTCTTCTGTGATGACAACAATACTTCTCCTTATGTAACTGATTACATATAACCATAACATGTAGCTTCCTTTAAGACAGAAAAATGAATGAGATATTGTATTTACATAACTTCAAAGTCCCAAAAAGTGCACGCTCTACCATATCCACAGTTTATTAATACATGTCCACCTTTTTGCAAGTGAACGCCAATCCAAAGTTTAGGATCACACATGAGAACTGAACTTAATTTTTTCAGCATTAAATTCAAACCCAATATCCAAATGCAAGAATAAACATACCGGAAGAAATTTTGATGATTTTTTCATGACAGCTAAAGCACTTCCCAGGCACCCAGATCGCTGTCACATGTAGCCTCAAGGATCAGCTAGCAGTAGAGAATTTGAAAAATAAACAAAGACACCAGAAAAATGAAGTTCTCTGCATTGTAGATTGCAATACCCTTCACGAGTAATGTATTGCATGAACAGTAAAAATACACCGGTGTGAGAATTGTGTATAGGTCTTATGCACTTGTTCACCCAGGCGATACAAATAGTGCAATAGTTTGTATGTCTCTCACACATAAACAAGGTTGTCACTCTTAAACAACAAACCTGAGCCAAAACCCATCCGACAAGCCAATCTATGTCGCTTCTGTGGTTGCACATAACAAGTGCATGTTCTTTACCTGAAAAAATTAACAGTACGAGCAACCAAATGAGCAACTAAGAAGCTCTGAAGCAGACAAATACCTGTCCTCTAACACATGTGAAGAACAATAAGCACTCAGCATCTCACAGACAGAACAAGCTTAAACTTACCCATCAAACGGAAAGTTTCTGGATCTGTAAACACTTTGATCTGAAGATACAAGGATGCAGATAACCAAAATTAACTTGATAGTGAATAAAATCTAAACATAAATCCAAATATGACAAGCTAGACTCTACAAGCAATCTATCAATCCCATTTCTACGTTCATGCACTATTGAAAAGGCAATTTCAGTAACAGAAACCTCACAAACAAGTTCAGAAATGTGCTGAACATGGTCGAAATGACATGTCAAATACTGCAATCGCCAAGGATTTACTTAAGCAACCATTCTTACTACAACGTCCAATACACATACATAGTTATTGAATTCTAATTCTAATTTAAAAACCTTGCAATTTAATTCAATTGATATAACAACAACATGCTTAGAATAAAATGCTCGTAAATGGTTAAAAGAAGAAGAACAACAACAACAAATAGGTGAGTGAGATTTTGTGGGGGTGGGATTAAAAACCTGGACTCCAGCCCACCAATCGAAGATCCAAACGAGTTCGAGCCATAACAATTCCGCTAATTGCCTATTGATTTTTCTGTACGTGCTCTTTGATAAAGGCCGAATAAAAACAAAGCAAATTGCCTGCAACATAATCAAAAGCATCGTTGTCACCTATGTTCTGAATCCTCTAAAACAATCAAGAAATACAAAGGTAAGAGATTCGAGACGGAACTCGAAACTTCGAAACGGAAAACAGAAATGAAATCTCAAGACAAGAAACTTCCAAGTTAATATACCTGAATGAGATTAACAATGAAACCTGAACAAAAAAAGAAAACGCCTAACGGCAAAATAACAAGTGATACAATCGCCATAGCCAAACACCTCCACTAATTTTATTTTTAAAAAAAGAAAACAGAGAGATTTGAGAGTGCAGAAAGAGAAGAGAGGAGGTTCTAGGATTTATTTTTTTTTTTGGTGTGTGAAATGAGGATTAGATGATATGAGAGTGTCAGGATCATTCACTGAGCGCCGAGAGGAAGAGCTTTAAAGGCAATGATTTCTCATTTCAAGGAAATCTTGTAAAGGGAACACAACACTCTCACGTTATTTCTTTCTCCCTCCCCATCTCCCTCTCCGTATGGGTTTTTCCGTCTTCGGGATAAAAAAAAGAGAGAGAGAGGGAGAGAGATAAATTAATGCGGTTTTTTATTGCGCCTCTCTTTATTTATTATTTATCGGTGTTGTGTCGGGTATCACATTTGGATAATAAGTGGCGACCAGATATTATCTGTCCCTTTTTAGTGAAATTACAAGTAGATACTAAGTTTTTTAAGTAGAAAAAAAAAAGATAATAGGGATATAAAGGTTTTTTTAAATATAATTATTTATTTAAAAATTATTTTAAATATATTTTTATTTTATATTTTTATCTTTATTTCTTCAACTAAATATATTTATATATCTTTATCTTTGTTTTATTTATTTTAAAATATTAATTAAATGTTATCTTGGACATATTAATCCAATATTACCGGATCTGGTAGCAACATGACATACGAAGATTGTGAAGTATGGCAAGCCAAAAAAGTTACTTTTTATGGACTAGTATAATCCTGCTGCAATATTTAAAAGTTTAAGTTTACTACTTAAGAAAATTTCATTGAAATCCAATTGTCAACACCAGTTATGATTATCATAAGTTGATAGAGAAGGGGAAATCATTATTCCTTTTGTCACAAAGTGCACGTGAACATTTTTTTTTGGTATGGTTTAATTTTATTTTTATGATTATCATAAGCATGTTACAAGTGGAGTTGATTGTTGAATCAGATCAACTTAAAGATAAAAATAGTTATTGTCATATTATTAAAATTAATCATGGAGTCGATCTGGTATAAAGCTTGGATACGTGTTAGGAGGATCAAACTGAATCAACATAAAAAAATTGTTATTATCATAATTTTACAACTTAATTCTAAAGTTAACCCGAGGCAAGGTCTAGAGCACGAATTAAAATGGTCAACTTAGGTGACTCGGGTCAATATAAGGATAAAATTTATTATTATCATAGTTTTAAAACCTGATTTAAGAGGTCAATCGGAGCAAGACTCGATCCAAAAGTCAACTAGAGGTAAGGTTCTAGTCATAGTTTGAGAAGGTCAACTCGGCCAACTAGTTTTTTTTTTTAAATAGTCATAACAACCTTGTTTTGATAAAAAAAAAAACTCAACGGGTTTTTTACCTATATTTTATACCGGATTGACTTGAATTTTTGATTGAGTCATGTTAAGTTAATCCTCTCTTTGTTTTTTCTTAAACTCCAACAAATCTAGTTTCCGAGTCAACCTGTCAAGTCATTTCTAAATTTCTAAATAGAGTTTTTATAATATTATCAATTCCAACACTAGCTATAAACTAAAATAAATAAATAAAAAGCAATCTGATTAGTCTTTTAAATATGAAACTCTAGCAACAATATATATTAAATATAAAATATAAAATATATTTTTTTATATTTTATTTTGTCTTATTCACAAAAAATCTAAGAAATTACAAAGTCAACTACTTTGTTTTGTACATCACTATGTTTTCATCTCATTTTATATATTGTCTCCTATGTCTCTATCAATTTTATATTGAATCACTTTTATGTTGAGACAGTAATTAAACACTACCTAAAAGATATAGCTAAATTATTGTAGTCATACTTACAAAATACTATTTATTAAAATAGTTTTTTATATTTTTTGTTTCAATTTAACCTTTCAAACAATCTTATCTCTTTTTTTTTAATATTTTTTAAAATTAATTTCATCCTTTCATGTTAAATTATCTTGAAAATTATACTTTATATTTTTTATTATTTTATATTGGGTTATAGACCAGTTTTATTAACAAATTATTAAAAAATATGACTAAATCATTGAAGTAACACTAAACAATTAATTAGAATAGTCTCTCTCTTTATTCCTTAGTTTTTTTTTTAATTTAACCTTGCATCAACCTAACATTCTTCTTATTTTTTTTACTTAGTTTATTTTTATTCAATTTTATCTTACAATATTAAGTTGTTTTAGAAATTATGCTTTGTAAATTCTTTTATTTCTTTTCTGTTGGGTTATATACTAGTTTCATAAAATTATTTTTTTTCTTGATTTCAACCTTCAATATTAGATTTGTTAGAAGTCGAGCTTTATAAAAAAAAATTATTTGTTTTTTTATGAATCTATCCTGATTTCACAACTCATGTCATAGATTTAACAAGTTAACTTAAGTGGACTTACGTTATTTTTTTACATCCTTTAACATTGGATTGATTGAAAATTAGGTTTTGAAAATATTTTTTATTTGCTTTCTATAAGATTATCTCAATTTTATGACTCAAGTTGTAGGTTTAACAAGTTAACTCTATTCATTTTTCTAGGTCTTTTTTAATTGAATATTTTTTTCATTTTGCTTTTCATAGGTTATCCCGATCAGACTGGTCCAGGTAGCAGTTTGATAGGTTGATCCAGACTTATTCGGTTCATTTATTTTTTATCCCTTTTAATTGTTTTTTTTTTAATTTTACCCTTTAACAACTCATTTTTTTTTAGTTTTTTTCAATTTTATCTCCCAACATTAAGCTATTTTAGAATTGAGTTTTGTAAAAAAAAATTCAATTTACATTTTGTGAAGTTATATTAGTCTTTTGGATTCAGTTTTTTCTTTCTTGATTTCAACTTTTAATATTGAATTTGTTGGAATTAAAGATTTGTAATTTTTTTAATTTTCTTCTTATTAAGTTATCCTGATTTTATTACTCAGACAACAAGTTTAACAAGTTTGTTTAGGTCGACTTGAATTTTTTTTTTAATTTAGATTTTGTTCTTTAATATTGAGTTGATTGAAAATTGAGCTCCATAATTTTTTTCAATTTGCTTTCTATGAGGTTATCCCGATCTCATAATCTGAGATACAAGTTTGAAGGTTAACCCGGGTTGATTCGAGTAGTTTTTTTTATTTTTTTAATTTAATATTTTTTAATATTTTCCCTTTAGATAAGGTTAATTAGAAATTAATTTTTATAATTAATTTTAATTTATTTTCTATAAAGCTATTACAATTTCATAGCCTTGCCTTGTAAGTTTGACTTATTAATCTAGTATAATTTAATATGTTATTATTTTAATATCCAATAAAAGTGTCATCTAATACATAGTTTCATCTATATTTTAAAAATATATTATTTAATATATATATATATATATATTAAATTCATGATTAATTGTTTTATGAAAAAACACGTCAGCAACTTTCGAATTTTTTTCCTAGTTTCATTTTATAAAATGTGACGACACTTGGTCCAATGTTAAACTTAAACATTAGCGTCAAGGAATTAGCAAAAATGCTTGGGCTACAAGAAGAACAGGGACCTCAGGTGGAATTTTGCTGACCATGCATATATGGTCCACATCGGGAGAACAGCAGTGAATGGTGACAGCGCTGATTAGTCGTCATTCGTTATTAAAGAAAACACATTTCCTCTTGTATTTGCGTATCGAGGAAAACCGCGTCATATATTAGATTAATTTGTTGATTTTTATACGTTGAGTTTTTGGTAAGGTTTTATACATCATAATATTATTGGGCGATGGATTATTAAACGCAATGGTCAATGTCAAGAGCAGCAGTCGAGGTAGGAGAGAATCTCGTCTCCTTCGCTTCATGTAAACATTAAAGCAGGCGGCCCCTTTTCTTTTTCTTTTTTTAAATTCTATCTTCTTTTGATAGAATTTGTTGAATTTTGTTGACGATTACGGAACTCCATTAAGAGTATGAAATTCTGCTTGGAGAACATTTTTAAAAAGGAAAAAGAATGTGAGATTACATTCCTAGTTTGTCCACTTCAGAATTCCTTCCGGACATATAAAAAGATTATTTTATTGCTGTTGAATAAGTTGTTATAATCTATTTTGATTTATTTTTATTTTTATTTTTATTATTATATTATTAAATTAAAAATAATTTTAAAAATAAAGATTTTAAACCTAATAAATTCCATAATTTAAATTGCAAATTTATAATCTGAATTGTAAATTTAGAGATAAAACAGTAAAGCTTATGTCTTAATATTAAAAAAAATATTATTTTAAAATTTAAAATTAATTTTTTATCAGTTATTTAATTTGTCTTTAAACTTACCAAATTGATTATGCAACAAAGAAGCAACTCTCGTATAAATTAATTTTGAATCCAAATTAGATAAGGTGTCGAGTTTGGAGGTTTCAGGGTTGATTTAACAGGTGAGCTTCAGTAATAATATCAAATAGTTTTTTTAGAAAAAAATCCATCTTCTTATTTTTTTATTTTAATTGAATTATTTCTTGATTTTTTTTTCAATTTTATCATTTAATATTTAGTTGATTTTGAATTAATCTTTATAATTTATTTTGATTTGCTTTTTATAAAATTACTGTAATTTTAAATAAATATCTTGACATTTGATTGATACTTAATTTTACGAACGTTTATTTTTGTTATTATATCATCAAATAATTATAGTGTTTTTTTTAAAGATATTAAACCCATAAAGTCCATGATCTAGATTATGATTTTAAAAATTGTTAACATATCATCAAAAGCTAAATGAAGTTGTTGATATCATTTAGCTTTTGATAATAAAAATTATTGGTTATTTTTTTAGTTTTATTATTTAATATTGAAATGATTTTGAGTAGGTTTTTATTTTTTATTATATAATAAAAAATTATTAAACTAATTAAAGTTAATAACTGAGATTATAAATTTGATAAGTTAATTTAAAGAAATTTAAATCAATCCAGCATATTGTGTTTTTAATTTTTTTTTAAAATATGTCATTTTTATTTTTTTAAGCCAAATTGCTTTTAAAACAAAATCATAGGATCACGGATCTATCCTAATTTATCCAGAAACTCATCTGTTTTTCTCTATTGTTAGAAAAAAAGAAACAGAAGGAGGAGGAGGAGGCACCATTGCAGTGTCAAAAAACAAATTAATGTAAAACTCTGGTGTTGAAAAGTAAGATTAGGCAAGCATCAACAGCAGACTTTTTTTTTTTTGAAAAAAAAAAACCACATTTAAACCCAAAACTACTGCATAAAGTAGAAAACGCAGCAAATAATCTTCAAGTTACAAGAAGCCTGATTAACTAAATCCTCATCAATTATCCACTCTCTTGGCTGAGATGTGGAAAATTGGGTTTTGAAATTCAAAGTCTGATTAGTTCGCTGTTCAACTTCATTTTTCGATTCAACGCACGAAATCATCTGCAAAGTCATCTGGGTTGCCCAACTGTTTTAACCTAAGCTCGCGGATCTGCATTCCTCGATCGGGAGGTTTCAACTTTCAACCGCTTCTTCAATTAATCTCAACGACTCCCACCGGCTCTTCATGCAAGCATAAATGCATGGACTGCTGTTTCTAATTTCATGCCAAGAATGCATGTGGTCCAGATTGTAGCTCGACCTTCTGCTGACTAAATGGCACGTGTGATGGGCACATCAGAATATTAAAACCATGATTGGACGACCAAACCACACGAAATCTCCGATTGGGTGGGTGTCTTAAATTCAATTTACAATTTCATTTATTTTTTAGAGTAAAACTGTGCCTTGAAGCAGGTATGAAGATGGATGAGTTTAAAGCAATTGATGACCAATTTTAGTTGGGCTAGCGCCTCCATGCTCATTTTGATTGTTAGCCAGCTAACCGGCTTTTTTGTTTTTTTCCATCGGAGATCTAAATACTAAAACGATAAATCCAAATTTATCATGTTTAAAAAATCCCATCAAATAAAACAAGCCCAGATTATTACTTGAATTAGTTGGGCCAGTCATTATTTTTAGGCCAATTATTTAAAAAAAAATAATAATTGGGATACCAGAAAGCACCCATGATTGGGTTCGGGCATAACAATGCCTTGGTGTATGCCTTAACACCTTGCTGAGCATGTATCCTAGCATCCGCCTGAGCTTTGGCATGTGTTCTAAATCTAGCTTGCTTGAACATAATATTTTTTTGGAATTTTTTTAGGATTTCATGGCCTTTAGATATTTTTTTGAGATGTTTGAGTAGGGTTTTTAATATTTTATATTCTACTATATATTAATTTTTAGTAGAATATAACTCAAAATATTACAAGAATAAAATGATTCTTTAACTAATTATTTCTATAAAATAATAAGATTTATAAGTTATAAATACTCTATGAATTTTTCAATATTTAAGTTTGTTATCTCTTTATTTTCTATATTGTTAATATATATATTTTCAGAGTTTATTTCTTTAAAATATTTTTATATTTTTTTCCTCTAAAAATATACTCACTTAAATGTCCAAGAATCCTCAAATCTATAAAAGATTACCTTAGCTTACCAAACATCAACTATAAACCACCTTAGTTAAAAATAATAAATTAAGTTGGTAGAGCCAAAAGATAACTAATTATTCAACATATAAACATAACTATTAAATTACTTTGATTTTTTGACATCTCATTACAATCTACCCAACAAAACTTTTAATTAGAATTTATTTTTGAAAACTAGTCATATCTAAATCCCAACCAAATTGTTTTTATGAAAACTAGTTCCGGAAGGTTTAAGTTGAACACTGGTGTTCTTTTGTTTGCTTAACTACTTTTGTTATTCAAATCCATTTGATTTCTTACCCATAACAACCGAAAAAAAGGATACGAAGCAGTATATATACTATAATAAATAATCATTAACCTATATCTTAAAGAGTAATATAAAATTAATTTTGAAGCTTTATTAACAATTTTAAATTTTAAATTAAAATAATTTTACTATGTTATCATGCCCTGAACAAATAGTCATGGGATAAAATTTCATTATTCTCATTATAATAAATAAAAATAAGTACAAGATAATTGTGAGTTTATAAAGATTTTAAATTTTAAATTTTTTTATTTGAGAGTATATATTATATTAAAGAGTAAAGGAAATTTATAATTCAATAACTAATTATCAATTCCACAAAAATTTCACTTTCTGTCAAAATACAAACTAAATAATACAATTAATTAAAAAATTAATATTAAACTAATTACCTATCATTTATTCAATTTAAATTTATTCAATCTAAATTAATATATTTTAATTATTATTAATTTTATAAAAACTAATTTTTTTTTAAATTTAAACTTAACAATAAAATTGATAAAATGTAATTGATATCCATTAAATTATTTATTTGATTTTTTGGAACCTTCACTAATATATCTGGTAAACTTTGTCCGCTCCTCAAATCCCTGAATTTACTACCTTATTTATAACGATGATGATTCATTCTCTCTCATTAATTATAGAATTTTTTATTTTTTTTTCTCTTGACGAATTTATTCTGTTTTCGCTTGAGATTGCCTCTTTCTGTGAGTTTGTGCGTGCATTTTATGGTTTTAACCTTCAAATTCAGTGTCGTTTTCTTCACCTTGCTGTTTTTATTTTTTATTTTTATTTTACTCCGGATGATTTTGATTGTGGAATTTTGTAACATGCAACTTCTTGCAAATATGTTTATGTACGAGAAAGATAAGACCAATCTTGAAAATAAGCTATGAAGAAGTCTAAATACATCATATATTAAGCTTGATGAAAACAATGATAGCCTAAGATTAGGCTATTGGATTATACTTAAATTTGATCGAATGATTTTACAGGCCAAGTTACTACAAAGACTAACTTCATCGGTTATTGTATAGTTATATTTCTTAAAATTAGATCAAAAAGTTGCAGTTTTTTCTATTTTAATTATTTATTTTCTATTTTACTTAGCAAATAATTTTATGATGCTGAAAAAAATAAGTAGTAACATCCTATTTATTTTCTATTTATTGTTTTCTTTTATTGGACTCCATGGAGTAATAAGTGATATTTCACTTATGTTCTTAGAAGTTGTTTGGCTATGTGTTAGAGTTTGTGTTTTTTTTAAAATACACGAGCAAACATTTGGTCAATAAAAATCAGTTATTTACTGTGCATGATCCCATAATAAATTATGTGCAAAACACAAAAAGATAAAAAATAGAAAAATACTGCTTTCTTGCACAGCTCTTAAATTCAACCATAATACATTGTTCACTGAACAGTGGACACATGTGAACAGTGGAGTAATGTGTCCACTATTCAGTGAACAAGAAAGGCATACTCTACTGTTCACTGAACAGTGGACACATGTGAACAGTTGAGTAATGTGTCCACTATTCAGCGAGCAGGAAAGGCATACTCTATTGTTCACTAAACAGTGGAGCATGTGAACAGTGTAAGAGAATTGCAATATTCATGTATTTTTTATTTTTTTTAGTGTGTTAATTTTTTTAATATTTTTTTTAAAATACTAGTATAAAGTGAATTAAATTCATTCTCACTGTAATATCAATTTTATACCTGATAATATTTTATCTACACTTAAAAAATTATAAAAAAATTTGTTCTTATCGGATGAATTTTGTATATAATGGAATTATAGATGGTTTAATGGAATAATAAAAAATATTTATATAAAGTATTATTTATTTCATGATATAATAATAATAATTAATTTACAATATTTAATTTTAAAACCATCAATATTAATATATATATATATATTATTTATAACAATTTTAATCAAATATCTATTTTTTCAAACCAATCATAACTAAAAATACTTTTTATAAAATAATGTTTTTAAACTATAACTACAATAATCACCGCAATACCAAATACACTCTTAACTTAAGTTATAAAATAATTTTTTTAAACTATAACTACAATAACCACCGCAATACCAAATACACTCTTTAACTTAAATTTCTTGTTTAAGTCGGTTCTAAGTTCTATTTAAACTGTTATGATGTTGTTTTAACATCTAACTTTTTAATTTTATAAATAAAATATCAAATATTTTCTCAATTCTTCAGCAGTGTTTAAGTTTATAATTTTAGAGTTCCAGAAATCTAGTTTTTATCTTCTATATATGCTGCGTCATTTATCTTGTGTGTATGATTTTAAATTGATTGATTTGCAGGTGTCGTATTGTGCTTGTTGTGGTAGAGGAGTAAGAAGGGATAATGATTTCTATTCAGAAATGGAAATGTTCATGGTCTTTGATAGCAACAATTGTGTCTGTAGGGGCACTAGTTTCGGCAGCTCCTCTGTTCTTGTTTCCTGTGCTGCCTTTTTTAGATTGCTTCAATGTACGGAATTCTAGTGTCCCGATTAATGGAACAGTGGATGAAAGGAATCATCATCATGTCTTGGAAAATTTCAAATCGGTTCTAGATTTAGAGCCTAGGTTTCCAGTTGACTTGCATGGGGTAGTGGTTCATTGGAATGCTCCATGGAAGGCTGAGATTGGGCGATGGCTTTCTGTCTGGGATTCAGCTACTAAGGATGTCACTGTTGTTGAGGTAATAATATTATGAGTAACGATAATTATTAATTTGAATTTAGTGCGTCTCGGAGAAAAAGATAACAAAGACAAATTAACATATATTTTTTAAGTTTTATGTTTCAAAAATATAAAAAATTATTTCTTAGATAAATTTATTTATATCTCTTGTATTTATTTTTTTTATTTGTCACGTAACACTGACCAAAACCAAATGCTAAATGTAAGTGACATAATTGAAATCCTTTCGATATTTGCAGTCGAGGGAAATGCTTATTCTCTCTAGGTGGAAGAACTTGGTGAAATTCGATCGACTCATGAGGCTAGATTTGGATCTTGACATGCTCTTTCTTAGTTCTGAGACAGCTTAAGTTGATGTCAAATCCAGTTTCAGTCTGGTAGGTGTTATTGTCAACTGTTTTGTTTGCAGACAATAAGGGGCAGGAGCTGCAAAATTAACTGTAGTGGTCAAGGAGTCTGTAACTCTGAACTTGGTCAATGTCGGTGTTTTCACGGATTTAGAGGTGAGCTATTTTTCTATCTTATTGTAATCTACATCAATTTTAGTGAAATATTTTAAATAAATAGCAGAAACTAGCACAGGTTGACATCTGCCTTTGATTATCCCTGTTATAAGAGCCATTAGCTTGTTCATTCGATGAACATGGAAGTTGAAACTGCGGGACTGGAAAAGTCTGATGGCTAATTGGAAAAGTCAGGTGATTAGATTTGGCATTGCCAACAGTGGATGGTTTCCAGGGTCGAGAGAAGGAAGCCATCATTATTTCAATGGTTCGATCGAACTCGAGGAAAGAGGTACTTTAAGCCTCTGCAGTTCATCTTTTTGTTTCCTTTTAGATTTGAGATGAAGAAGATTAGTTATAGAGATTTTAGCAGTTGAAACTTGGGAACCTTTTCAAAACATTTCAGGTGGGGTTTTTGAGTGACCACAGGCGAATGAATGTGGCTGTGACACGGGCAAGAAGACAGTGTTGTCTTGTATGTGACACAGAGACAGTGAGTGGTAATGGGTTCTTAAAGCGATTAATTGATCATTTTGAGGAGCACGGGGAGTATCTAAGTGCATCAGAGCACCTCAATGAATAAGCAAAGGTTGCTAGTGAAGAGGGCTGTTTTAGACTGTCACAGATTATCATATCGTTTCCTGGAAGATGTAACTTGGAAAGTATTCTCACCATCTGACAGTTGATTGGAGAAGATTTTACCCGTTTTTATTCATCTAATTGGCCAGAAACGATTATGCTTTGTATTTTTTACCAGGATTTTGAAATAGATTATCAAAATCTAGTCTATATTCTTTCGCATTTTAGGTAATGGGTTTCCCGATAAATTGAACTACACTTGCTAGAAAAAGCCTTATCATCACAGGAAGCAATAGGCATGGAATTGAAGTAAATGCAAGCGACTTTGACTGTGTAGTTGGGGTTAAAACTTTCTCGTTAAAGAAAGAGAAAAGGAAAGACAAGAAAGATAACTTGTCGACTCCCGTAATCAACGAGGAATTATCTAGGCCTCAGGGGAATTTAAGCAAAAGACTGCATTTGCATATAATTTTGCGTGGGATGTGCTGCATGAGTAGCATTTGTATTTATGTTTTGTCTTTGCTTCTTTCCTTCATCGAACTTTCTGTCATTGCTTATTGTTCTATGTTTTATCAGACCTTCACAGTTCAATCGTTGTTTGGCAGTATCAGTCTGATCAGTACTTCCAGGTAAGAGGGCTTACTGATCAAATTATGCAAGGAATGTGAAGTCTGCTAAAGCATAGAACTGCGGGCGAGGAAAACGTACGTCAAGATTATTTTGTCCATCAATTATCTTGTAACATGCTTCCTTGTGAATTCCTATGTCGTAAAGCAAACAAATTGCAGAAGCACAAATAAATCTAGCGTTGCCAAAATCAGCCTAACAAACATGGGTAAGTTCACATCAGCCATAGGTCAAGAAGAAACCTAGTAAGTTGCTACTGTCATATTGCAATATGAACTTCCTTCCACCCAACCCTTGCTCCTGTAACGCGTCCTCTCTCTCTATTTATCTGCTAAGGTCAAGTGCTATCTAGTCTGATCCATGTTGCCAATGAACAGAAGTAACGACTATCATAGAGCAATTCAAATGGCGGTAGATCTAGAACAAACTAAGTATGACCTTATTATGTGAAAGCAGACATTCTAGTTCCAAACAAGCAAGCAGCAAAGCTAGCTTTCACTCTCCCTAAATCATTTTATCCTCCTAGAAGTTCCAAATGGAAGTTGGGAAAGCCGGTTCATCTTGGACGTCATAAACTGGAAAGCTATTCAATTCTGCTGCTTGATGATCTGTAATTCCATGCATTTCAATCAATGAATCCCAATTGAAACTCTTGTCTGCCAATGCTGCAAGTTCGTTTTCATATTTTTGTGAAGATTCTGGCACCGTGAGACATTCTTCGACATCATTGCTATCTGGCTGTTTCTCTTCTTTCAGTATGCCCAGCTGCTGAAGGAACTCGTTCAGATCGATCTGTGGTTTCTCGTCATGATTTCTTATCAGCATCTTCTCTGATGATATTTCCACATCTTTCTCTGCTACGGCGAGATTTGCTACATGGTTTTCGTCACTTACAATCATCACTTCATTTCTGGATTCAGAGGAGGAAGAACTAGAAGCGACAGAGGATTGATGAAGGGGCCTGTTATTCTTGAGTTCTTGGAGCCGCTGATGGATGACATGAACGCTAGGCTGTGCATGTATATTAAGCAGCCCACAAGAAGGAAACATGGAAATGAAGTTCTTGGAAGGAATCCATTTGAGCTTCTGTGATTTGTTTAGAGGATTGAAGTTAGACTGAAGATGAGGTAGATTAAGATAAGCATCCGGTCCATACAATCTTCTTGCAGCCTCATCATAGGCCATAGCAGCTTCTTCAGCAGTGGCAAAAGAACCCAACCATAGTCTGGTTCTCTTCTTGGGTTCTCTTATTTCTGCCACCCATTTGCCCCATGTTCTTTGACGAACCCCTCGGTACTCACACATGGCATTCTGAGGACCGCCTTTGCCTCTTGTTGGGCCTTTTTTCCACGGCTTCAATGGAGACCTTCTGCAATTTTCCATTAGGGTTTTTGGTGTGTGAAAGTAAGCCCAGTGAAGAGTGTGAGTGACAGTAGGGACTTGGGGAATACAGAAAATGGGTGGAAAGGCGCGGGATATGTAGTGGGAGAGAACAGCTTTGGTTTAAATGTTGTCACGTTTAGGAAGAGTTCATGCCCATGTGACCGTTTGTGAGTGTTTAATAATTTCAAATCTTAGTAATTTTTAATTATTTTGATGGTGGTTTTTTTAATATAGAAAACCATTCAGTTATAATATGTCTCATCAAGAATGGATGGAAAGAAAATGAGATTACCATATTCATATTGAAGGTTCACGAAGAAATTAAGGAAGGAAGAAGTCGGCATAAGCAAAAATGATAAAATGTTATGCTACATATCCAAATTCCCATCTTATAATCATAATATATAGCAGTGTTTTTGCAGTCATATTTTTTTTAAAAATTAATCCTTTTCTTTTTAAATTAATTTTTAGTGTATTTTTTATTGTTTTAATGTACTGATATTAAAAATAAATTTTTAAAAATAAAAATATTATGTTAATATATTTCTAAATAAAATATACTATAAAAATAACTAGAATTCCAATACCAAATACTACCAAACATTAAACATTAGGAATGTTGCTGGAGCTAGTCCATCACATTAAACAGACTCGTGAAGAAAAAAAAATTACAAGCCCATTTATGAAAAATGGAGTTACACTTTGAAGTTTGAACCAGCTAGTTGCAAGAAACAATGGGTGACTTCTCTGGTATTTGTTTATGCATTCTCATTTAACACCAGCATGTCACACGAGAAATTATTGCACAAAATATAAATCAAATTCACAGCATAAAATGGTATTTTGTATTGAATTCCACTGCTTATGTGGAAGGTTTTTCATCAAAGTGATGAGATTTTTCCTTTCTTTTACCAAAGCTGATGAAGATTATGCCGAGTAATTTCGTTGTGATAATAACTCGAATGTGGCCATGAACAGCTTGACTGCCTTCGGAGTAATGAAATGAAGTGATTCATACAATAAAATCCAACTTGCAAAGCGATCGCTCTCTGACTTCCTTTGCCTTGGATTCTATACTAGTGTTTCTACATGAATTGAATCTTTACTTGAGGAAACTCACCTCAACATTTTTCATTTTCACGAGCCCTATTTCACATGTTGTCCTGCCATTGACGACCTGATTCCCGAGACTCTCATCTTTATCCCATGCCAATGCTCTCTCCACCCTTCCTTTCTCTCTCCCTGGGTTAATTACTTCAGTATATTGTAAATACTGTACCAAACAGGCCTGCAAATTACCAAGACATGTCACGTGTGTAATAGTAGATTGTGCTCATCACCTTGCTCCACCAACTGTAATGAGTGAATGTTTGAATGATAGTTGCCATGATTTAGTAATGATCGAGCAAATTTAATTATGTACTTTTTGATTGAGGAGTTCTCATTAACGAGGTCAGATCCGTTAGCTGTTAGTGGTTAGGGACCAGGTTAGTGATAACCTAAGGAATTTGTTCGTGGGACATGAATCTGATTTAAACGTGCGATGTTCAACTCTAGCAAATTGTATACTAAGTTGATTTGATACAGAGATGACAATTGATAAGTTTTTTTATAAAGAAATATTTTTGCAAATAAAATCATCTTAAATTAATAAAATAAATTTCACTAATATTACATAGCTAAAATATTTATATTTGATAATTAGTCAAACTCAAAATAACATGTCTTAAGCTTAATAGTTAGTTAAACCTAAAATAATGCAAGTTTGACATGTTTAATAATATTTAAGTTCTTTAGTCAAACTCAAAATAACATGTCTTAAACTTAATAGTTAGATGACATGTTTAATAATATTTAAGTTATAATATTATATACTTGAGCATAAACGCTTCTTTATAATAAAAATATAGAGGATAATCATATATATATATATATATATATATATATATATATATATATATATATATACACACACAGAGAAGGCCACTTAAAGAACTTATCATATTTATTATTTTTTTAATAATATGTAAGAAATATTTATTTATTATTAATATCATTAAAAATATAGAGTTTTTTTATTTATTCCTTTCTCTTAAAATAACAAGGTTCACATTCAGATAAATGGTTAGAATTTTTTATTTTTTTAAAATAAAAATATATAAATTTTAGAACTTTAACAATTTAAAACTCAAAAACAAACATTTTTGTTCCTTAATTTAAAGCTATTTTAAGTAATTTATTTTCCCAAATTATTTAATATATTTCTTATAAATATACTAACTTATCAATTATCAATGGGATCTTTAAGTTTCTTCGATTAAAACTATTTTTTACAAGTATTCAAGTTTCTATAATAAATTTAGAGTATGTTAGATAGATTAAGATGAAAAAATCCAAACACTTGAACATACTAATTAATTTCTATAGAAAACACTAAATAAATTTTTATTTATATATTTTGGATTTTCAAACATCATCAACTAATACATTGGCCTATGCTTACACTATGCCATGGAGTGGAGTAAAAAAATATTAAAATGTAATAGAAAATCTATATATTGATAACATGTCTTCTAGAAGAAAAAATTAACACCATTCTAATTTAATATTAAGATGAAAATATATTATATTAACTAGGCATGTAAGAAATGTGAAAGTAATATTAGAAAAACAAAAAGAGAAACTTTTAATTAGTTTAATATTAAAAAATGAAAGTTATAAAAAAAATAGCATTTATTTGGAGAAAAATCTTAAGTAAATTGAAATCAATCATGTAAATTATGAATGCCATTAAATTTAATAAATTTTTTATATTAAAAATTATTTTTTATTTAATTACATGCATAGCAGTTTTTTCGCATGGAACATTTTTTAAAAGAAAAGAAATCGTGTTAGAACGTACTGAAAACATATAGACATGGAGATATAAGAAATCGCACTGACTTGTAAATATAAAAATAAATAAATAAATAAATACTTGAGAAAAAGACGAAAGATATGTTTTTTGACCCTTATGTCATGGAGGTTCTGTCAAGGGATCCAAAGCTATTATCAAAACTCGTCTAGGTGGTGCCACCATGACCTGACAGCACGGGCACAAAATGAACCTCCGATTACCATTTTCTTCATTTTTATTTTTTCTCTCCTCTTTAATTTTTACTCCATGCCCTTCAATTTTTAAAATTAACCTGTCAAAAAAAAATTTAATTTAATTTTTATTTTTTAATCACTATTTAATTTTTTAATTTTATCCTTATTAAATTTTATTATTTATCAAGTTTGATCACCATTTTTATAATTTTATAATTGCTATTTATATAATTTAAGATAACTTTTAGAATTAATTTTTTTAATGATTCTATCCTCCTTTTTTTTATATCAAGGATATTTTTATTATGTAGATTTTTTTTGTTTTACCTTGTAATTTTTTTAGATTGTTTTTTTTTTAATATCATTATCCAACATTAAATTGATTTTGAATTTGAGTTTCTCAATTAAATTTAAATCTAAAATTTCACAAATTACAAATATAAAAAATTAATCCAGTTTTAAAATATTCAATCAAGTTTGCTTGGGTTTTTTTTTATCATTTCTTTAAATTAATTTTTTTTAATTTTATTTTTTAATATTTATTTAATTGAAGATTGCACTTATTTTTTTATCTGTTTTTTTATTTGTTTTTTACATTCTTTGTTTTATTTTTTTTTAATTGAATTATTTCGAGGTTTTTATTTATTATTTTTTTAAATTAAATAAATTATTATAATTAAATATTATAATTTATTTAATTTTTTTTTTTATAAAGTTATTTCAGCTTAACCTTAACTACAAATTTAACCTGAACTACAAATTTAAGTAGATAACTCAAGTTTTTTTCTCTTCAGATAACTTAAAATATACACACACATCCAACCTTAAGTTATATATGTTCAATTTTAAATTAATTAAAAAATAGATTACATAAATATTTTTATTTACTTTCAAAAAAGTTATTTTTATTCTAAATCAATCTAATTTATTATTATTTTAATATTTATAAAAAATATCATGTTAAATATTTATTTTAAATTAAATTATATTTTTATCAATAACACAAGTTTTTTTAAATTTACTAAGTTGATTTGATCAAATCAGATTAATCTTTCCCAAAAAATTTTAAATTAAATTATATTTTTATCAATAACACAAGTTTTTTTAAATTTACTAAGTTGATTTGATCAAATCAGATTAATCTTTCAAAAAAAAAACATCGGCACCAACAAGATATTTTTTTCATGTAAAAAAAATCTGAACTGCAGGATAGCAAACGATACAGTAACAAGAGAAAATCGGAGCATCTGCCAAAAACGGAGATCCATCTCATAAACCGTCAAAGTTTTGCTAACTAGCATACACTATACAGAAAATAACAAGGTGTCGAGTGTAAAGTTAATATACAACAGTTTCTTTGACAATCAGAATGCATCCTGCTGAAAAAGTAAAGCTGACCAGACCCAAATATAAGAACACATCCATATACGCAAACTGATGAGGCCGGCAAATTCTTACTTGGATTTAGGGCTTAATTTGCACATGTTCCTCCATTTATCCTTGAGGTCTATTGTTGTTCGGCCATTCGAAAATACAGAACTACCATACTCCAAAATGTCCTTCCAGGGATATTTCCCGTCACTTGCAAATTTCTGCACTCCCTCCTTTAAAAAGAGCAAAAAATTAGAGCCCGATAGATCACAATGAAGAGCTAAAAGCCAAAACTATATGATATTAGCTTGTGAAATGAAAGAGATTTAGAATGCACAACCAAGAAAATCTCTCTTAAATATGTATAAATGCATTTACGGTGAGCATACAATTGAAAAAAATATTGGTGTCAGAAGCATAAACAAATACCTTTAGTATCTCCTCCTCATCAGCTGTCCACGGAACCTTTTTTCGCCTCAACTGGGGCATTGCAGGGGTACTGCAGATCAGAATAACATTTTGGTCAACTACAATTGCCACTGCAATCAAATGTCAAATTAATAAGGGAGCAAAGTGATTTACCCAAATTCACACACACGACAAAAGAATAATAATAGAAGTTGACATAGCATAGTCAGATTTTTTGAAGGTAGTATACTATAGAAGGCAAAACTGTTTCAATTCTGGAAATGGCATTCAGAGGAGTACATAACCACCTGCATAACACTTTGAATAACTGGAAACTTACTATTGTCTCTCTCTCTTTCGGAATCTTATGAAGTAATTAGTACTCATTGATTTGTCATCTTCATCGCCAGAGGTTTCTCCTCCATCGCTGCTCATGGCACAAACAGCTTTCTGTCTTCGACCATCTGTTCTCTGGCTTCCAGAGGCAATCTCCTTCTCTTTACACAAATGATTATCAACAGTGTCTTTAGGATCAACACTAACTTGGTGTTGATTTATGTCAAGTTCAGTTCCAGATGAGTTATCTTGAATCACCTCCTCCCCTTCCTTTTCTACAGTAGATATATGATTCGTCCTAACATTTACATCAGGCACTTCTTCTCTACACAGCGAATTAACACCAATGCATGATGCCAAAGGCTCTACTTGCTTCTTCTTCCTTTTTCCTTTCTGAAATTGATGGTCACTACCGTTAGATATGTGACCTTGATTATTTGATTGTTTGTGTTTTTCTCCAACCAAATTCTCATAATCAAGAAATTTATTAAGCAGATCCTTATCTTCATTCTGTCTTGAGCTGCCATGTCTTTTGCTAAGTAGTCTATGAGCATGTTTGTTTGACCGATACTCCTGTCTCGTTTCAATAAATAACTTCAGTTCCTTCCTCGCTGAATAGGCCTTTTTCTTAGCTTCAAGGTACTCTGAAATAGCAAGAGAATATGCACAGAAAGGACAGTAAAAGTCTCCCCTCTCATCAAAATGTGGTGAGAAAACTAAACAGTTCTCATGAATCACCAATGAGCAACTACCAGCACCACAAACCAACAACTGACCATCTTTACGGCATTTTATGCAAAGATTTTGATCTGTCCAGTTACCTTCTGCCAGAGAATCATGACTTATCATGTATTGAGAACTCAGAAAATGACTCTTCTTCAGACCAACATCAACCCTCTCATGCTCAAACTCATCTTCTTCAAATAGATGGTCTGTGCCAGCTTCTCTTTCATCAGCATCAGTATTCCTCTGAAATCCATTTGAGGATACACTATTTGATGGTTTTTGTTGACCACTATGATCAGAGTTGTCTTTGTTTCCACTTACAAATAATCTGTCCGAGGTTCCCACAGATGGTGCAGCATTTGATTTTCTAGGTTCAGGATGGTGGATTTCATCCACGAAGCTATACCGATGGAGTCCATCCCCAGATAGTGGCATTTTGTTGGTATTATGAGCAATTTCATGCTGATTGTGCTGGAACGCATTGTCAGCATCAAGACTATGCCTGTGCCTATCTATACCATCATCTTCATCATGATCGTTCTCTACAGGTCTGCTTCCTTCCAGTCCTCCCTGTGAAGATTCTTTTTCCAAGTGAAAATCTCTGTTTTCAGAATCCTCAACCACTCTCTCAAATGAATCTTCTACCATGTCCTTGTGCTGTGAAGGAGTCGAAGAAATTTGTCCCATGGACAGATTGTCATGCAAGGCATCTTCCTTGAACCTCTTGGCTTGTGGCTGAAGATGATCACCATCAACACAACCTTGATCTTCATGGTCTCCAGCCTGATTTTGACTAGCTGAACCACCTCTCTCTCTCTCAGAGTGTAACAAGTTCCTGTTACATGAATTGTCTTCCACTACATTCTCATTTTCATGCAGCAAAGGAATGGAACTTTCTTCAGGAGGGTTAATTTGTCCATCAGTATCACTCCCACCTATCCACCCCACAGGTGCACCATCGTCCCCATAATCTGTAGTGATTCTATTACCCCTATCATTTGCATTCACCAGTTTACTATATTCCTTCAACGAAGCATATGGATGAATACCCTCAAGAATTGCATCTTTCACCTGGTTTTCATAACAAAAAATAAAAACAATCACCAAACAGCAAGTGAGGATTAATCATCTCCATTTCTGTTTAACATCGAAACTTGAGAAAATAAAGAAATTCTCAATCACCTTCTCCAAAGCACATTTAGACATGCAAGCTCTTTTATGCATAATGAAAGGGTGAATGTCCCATTTCAATAGCTCCGGTCCACCCCTATTCAAATCTGATACTGATGTCTAACAAACAAGAAATCCATGTCAAAATTCACAATCATGGCCCACGTGAGTAACAAGTGTTTTTATAAGATTTCAAACCCAAATTGCTTACAAGTGAAAGCAGAAATAGTAAACCGAATCACCTCTTGCAGTATGGACTGGAGCACATCCTCACAACTCTCCGACAAATCAAACGTGACTTTCAGTTCTTTAGAAGTAACACCATTCGCAATTCCATTATCACTACGACAAAACAAATCCTCTAAGCATCTCAAAGCAACCATTTCCCTCGTGTTTTTCCCCAAATCATCAGGTATTTCCGGAGCTGCCTCAATCAATTCTGGAACAAACCAAAACAAAACACCTCAGCCCCCAAGAACAATCAAAACAGCCCAAGTAATTACATTTCATTTCAAAACACACAGCACAAATTCCTTAAACACTCATTTATGAATTCGAGAATGCAGCGCACATACCATGTAAAATCGAGGGCTCTATTTGCCGAAAACTTGCCAAGTACTCAATCACCCAAAGCCACGCGAGGGTCGTAGCTGAACTAGATGGATCATCCATCAAAGCCTTTTTTTGTCAAAACCTACCAAAAAAAACAATAATTTTGACATAATAAAACCACCATAAATTAGGGTTTGCTAATTTAAAGAATGAGGACCCTTCTTTGTGCACAGACTAAAGATTGATGAAAGGGGCAGTTAACCCTAATTAGTTTGTTTGGTTTATTATAAAGATTTTTTATTTCGTGGGGGAATTCAAAAAAAAAAATTGTTTTCTGTTTCGGAGAGTTGTTAATTTTCTCGGGATCCAAACATGAGATAAGAGAGAATTCGAAGGATTAAAGAACAGTGTAATGTGTAAGTACCTTTTCTAGTGAATTTAAACCACAGAGACGCAAGCCACCGGTCATGTATGTATGTCGAGAAATGGAGTTCCAATTTCTGGAGATTTGAACTCCTCTGGTCTCTTTCTCTTATCACTTTCCCTTTTGTTTAATTGAATTTTTTTAATTTCGTTGTATTAGAAGGATTTCAATTCTTGGCTTCTCGTTTCTTTCTTTCCTTCCAATATTTGGGGGATAGAAAAAACGACCATCACTACGGCTGGAATTAACTTATTTTTTCTTTCCATTTCCCCTTATTTCTCTAATTTTTATAAATATAGATGAACTATATAGATAATTTTAATTTTGTTGTTAAATCGTTTTTCATATAATTTTATTTTTTCTTTTTTTCAAAATTTCAATTAAAGACTTTCATCTAGTATCAAGGTTTTTTAATCTATATTTCGGTTGAAATTTTGTTTTTTGAAGAAAAATAACATCATTTTATAAGAAGCTTAACGTTTTTCATTGACTGATCTCTTACAAGATAATAGTATGAATAATTGAATATTAAGATAATTTAATTAATAAAAATTTATTTAAGTATTTCGAGTGGAATGAGGTTCGTTTTGCTAATTTTCGATTTTTAATCCTAAAAGAATTCATAGTGTTAGTTAACAATACGGGAAAAAAAGAGTACCTTCGTTCTATAAAGAAATGCATCCACATGGATAAAAGGGCAAATTTACCATGTAAATAGACGACTAGACGTGGTCTCGTATTATGTAGCATATCCATATTTTATTTGTAAGAACTAATATCTTGGTGTAGAAAAGATGTTTTTTTTTTAGAAACAATTATTTGTTTTATCGTTTTGTTAGGTTTAACAACCTGGTTTTAATTTAATTAAATAAATAATAAATAATAGTAGTAAATAGATAAAAAAAAAATTTAAATTTACGATAACTTAAAAAAATCTTAAAAATAAGATATTAGATTTAAAAAAGAGATAAAAAAATTATTGTCAAGCTAAAATAATAATATGATAAACATATAACTTGGGTAATAAAGAGTTAATCAACCCAGTATAACCTGTAAAACTTATGGTCTGAATCATGAGACAGGATAACTTGATAAAAAACTATAAAAAAATTACAAAATCAATTTTTGTTTGAAAAAAAGGAAGTGCAGATAATGAAATCATAAAAAAAAAATAAGTTAAACAAAAGAATATCGATTATTGTTAATTTTTGAAACCGATAACTCAAGTTATTAGACCAAAAATATCATAAATGGAAAAACAATAAAGCTTAATCCTCATCAAGTCAAATATTGAATGATGAAATCAAGAAAAAAAATCAATTACATAAAAAAATATAAAATAAAAAATAGTAATTAGAAGAATTAGGATGGAAATTGAAAAATAAATTAAAAGATAACTATAAATTTTCAATTGGATGGTTAAATTGAAAAGAAAAATAACTTTAACTAAAGGACAACAAAATTTATATGAATGAGGACTAAATTGAAAAAAAATAATACAGATAAACTTGGATTAAATAATAAAATTAAAAACCTATTAAACTTTTACAAAATAACTAAGAAAAAAAATAATATATAACAAATTAGAATTGAAAAACTAAATTGAAAACAAATAAGACTCTATAAAAAAGCTAAGAATAAAAATAAAAAATAAAGATCAAAGTTAAAATATTAATAAAAAGATGATTAATCTAAAATTCTCAAGCGAAGAGAAAAAAAAATTAAAAAAAAGGTTAATTAGTGATAAATTATCACACCGTAGCCGACACACAATGCCTCGAGAGAGAAAAAACGTAACGTTTTGCTTATATGATGGCCACTGGAGATTTATATGGTCGTTAACTTCAGGGCCCGTGGAATTAGTCGTGGTGCGCGCAAGCTGGCCCGGACACCCACGTTAATCTAAAAAAAAAACATAATGTTTTTTGAAATAACATAATAGCAAGACATTTTATGCTATCAGGCATGCTCAACTCAAAATATATAGACATCCAACACGTGATAACAACTTTTTTAATTTAATTAATATTATATCTCCTTTAAAAGACCAAAAGGCCATGAACTTGATAATCATAAAAGGCCAAAGTGAAAATACTAAAAGGCCTGTAGACACATGGCTTAATATTTTTTTTATTTTAAAAATAAATATATCATTTCACTATATTTTTTTTTTTAAAAAAACCCCTCTTAGTCCGTTTTAAAAATTCTAACTTGGAGGGTAATTTGAGTAATTTATTGTGACAAATAAAAAAACCATTTATGCTCTTAATAAATTCTTTAATAAGTAATAGAGACTATGTGGAAAGACCAAAATACCTTCAACATAAAGATAATTGGTTTTCTTTAGAAGGGTAAAATTGCAATTACATGGTCAGAATGAATAGTAAAATATGTTTACATGCACACTAAATTTTCCTTCCCCTTTAGTTTTTATTATATATTAAAATCAAATATATTGTTAAGAAATAACTTAATAAATATTCTCAAGTTTGGGCCGGGGGATGCAATTATATGAAAAAAAAAATTTAAAGATAAAATTCAAAAAATAAAATTTTTTGCATAGTTCATTCATTAATATAACACTCATGCCTTTTAGTTTTCTAATTGTAGGAAATCTTAGATATAGCTACGTCTCCTAATTCAATATAATTAATTAAAAGGCAAATATTCCTTTCCTTATTTTCCAAACCACGGTATCCATTGTCATCCGTGATCATACATTTATATTACCTTGGTGAACATAAGTGTTTAGCATCTAACCATCCTCGCGGTGGCAGAAATCAACAGAGAAAAAGGAAAAGAAAAAAGCAGCACATATTTGAAGCAGCTGCCAGTTTGGCTTTGAAAGTTCAGTGGGCATGTTTGGAGAAACGAAGACCTCAAATAGATATCACCAACAACCGTTCTGGAAGTTGAAATTAGGCATGGACTATCATTGTCACCGTTAGGTTGAAACGTTCCATGTGAGAACTTTCTGTCGAGCAGAAAATCATGCCAGCCAGAAGAAGAATGCCCTCAGAATGGAATCACAATCACTTAAAGAAACGCTTACTTCTTTATTTTATCTTATTTTGGCTATCTTTAACTGGAGCAGTTTGAGCTTTGAACAAGTTAAACCAAGCTTATTCTTCCCCCCCTTTCTTTTCTTCTGGAAAAAAACCTTTTATTCCTCTTCTCCAGTATTCATCATGGAATCTTCATCCTCCTGGACCTCATAATCCCTTTAAAGGTTGCAATACAAGCATTTCGTTTTTCGTTTGCATAAAGGGATCTCTCTGAATGACCAAATCCCAGAATACGAGGCCACAGAATCCAACTACATGCCTAACAGGCAATATTCCTCCATGCTTACCAATCACTACAAAAAGCATCCAGAAAAGTGCCCAATATATGATTTCTGTTCTCTCTTTTCTTGATGCTTGTTTCCTTGTACATGAAGGCTGCAATTTCCCTTTCAGCCCCACCTGTCCTTTAGGACCGAATTAGATACCGTTTGTAACACTGCAGGTTTTAAGAAACAAAATCATCAAAATTTTCTTTGTTGGTTTTAAAAAAGAGATTTTATTCTATTTTAAAAAAAAATTATTTAAAAATATATTAAAATAATATTTTTTAAATTTATTTCTTACATGATGCATCAAATAAAAAAAAAATTCAAAGTATCATAAAACTCCAGTACAAAAAAAGGTCGAAAATAGTCGGTCGCTAGCCCATCAATTCCTGCACCCACTGTGTTTTCCCAAAATCTCAAAGTTCTCTGAGTCCCATTCTCAAATCTCTCATTTATTTTTATGATGGGAATATATCATTTATTTAAAAATGAGATCTTTTTCTTTTTTTAACAATTAGTTAGATACATCACGGAGAGCTGGAACTCCCTTCGATACATGTGAATAGGTTTATGAATACTTATTTTCGCACCTAAGGTTTTACAAAAAAAAGAAAAAGAAAAAGGAAATGCAATTCCGGATTTATTAATGATAAATCCCAATTAATCAATCATAAATGCGTCTAATAAATATCTAATTACTGAGACCAGGTATGAACAAACCATTCCAGAAACTAGACAAAAATTAGCAAATTACACTTAAGACTTTTAATTAAGATTGCTTGCAACAAAA